GGGGATAGCGGGAAGACGAGAGCCGTCTCCACATCTCGGCCACATCTCGGCCACATCTCGGCCACATCTCGGCCGCATCTCGGCCACATCTCGGCCGCATCTCGGCCGCATCTCGGCCGCATCTCGGCCGCATCTCGGCCACATCTCGGCCGCATCTCGGCCGCATCTCGGCCACATCTCGGCCGCATCTCGGCCGCATCTCGGCCGCATCTCGGCCGCATCTCGGCCGCATCTCGGCCGCATCTCGGCCACATCTCGGCCGCATCTCGGCCGCATCTCGGCCACATCTCGGCCACATCTCGGCCGCATCTCGGCCACATCTCTCACCGGTCTGTCGAGCTCGTCCATCAGCCGGCCCTCCTCGAAGCGGAGGCGCTGCTGGAGGAAGTCCGAGTGGAGCGAGTGGCCGAAGCACGCCTCGTGAGCAGCCTCGGCAGGCCCGGCGGTAGCAGCAGCATCGTCACGGTCGGCGGCGGTCCCGCTGTCGGTGGCAGCGGTGACGGCTTCGCTTCGCGAGGCGCGGTCGACCTCCCAGAGGACGCTGCTGCTGCCCGCCTCGAGGAGCGCGTCGAGCAGCGCTGTGTTCCCGTCCCTCAGGGCAATCGCTCCCGCGGAGTGGCCGAACGAGTCGATGGCGTCCCACGGAGCGCCCGCCTCCATCAGCGCCAGCGCCTCGGCGGTTTGACCGGCGTGCACGGCAGCCATGAGCGCGCGCGGCAGCGCCTCGTCCTGAACCGCACGGACCTGCGCGAGCACACGACGCACCAGCGCTTCGCCGGCCTGGCCCTCGGCAGCCTCAGCAGCGTCTCCGATTGTCGCAGCCTCGGCAGCTTCAACGCCAAACGATGCGAGGACCTGCTGCGGAGAGGCCCCGGCAGCGAGCTGGGCAGCGACGTACTGGCGGCAGTAATCGATGCCGGCCTCGTCTGGGTCTGACGAGGACGGGAACATGGTGAGCACGCCCATATGTGCACACATGCATGCACATGCACATCTAGCGTTGTACGAACGGAAAAAGAATTTTAGGGGCAGCGGGGTGCTCCATGCGGGTGCGACGCATGATAGAGCTGCTGGGCGCCGCATCGTGTACTACCGACCCACGCCAAGGCGCGGGGCGGTGGTGCTCGCCGGCGCTCGCGGTGCTTCGGTGCTCGAGCGCGCTCAACATTGTGGTCGTTCAGGGCGGCTCGCACAGCGCCCGCAGACACACACACACACACACACACACACACACACACACACACACACACACACACACACACACACACACACACACACACACACACACACACACACACACACACACACACACACACACACACACGCAATGGACGCAGACGGCAACCCAGACCCGAGCGGGTACGGCAGGACTGTCTGTTTTGAGTGGGCGCGTAAGCGCAATCCGGCACTCATCCCGGCGATGCGGCTGGTGTTTGGTCGACGCAGCTTCCTCCGTCTGTGCAGCGCGGACGGACCGCTCCAGGACCCTCGGGCAGCCGGACCGAGCGACGCCGACGCACCGTGGGACCCGCTCAGCCTGGAGCCGCCCGGCGAGGACGCCGACGGCTACATCCGGTCGTGCTGCGGCGGCGCCCAAGGGCGCGCCTTCTCAGGGATGTGCACCACCGGAGTCAAACACGAGATCGACAACATTGTGCAAAAGAAGAACCCGACTACCCGCTTCGTTTCGTTCATCGACGACATGGTTCAAAACGACACCGTGGCAGAGGCCGTCAAGTCTTACTGCGGAGAGGGCGGGACACTCGAGGTGCAAAAAGATGTCGCTGGCAACCTCGACAACGAGGAGAAGTGCATCATCTACTCTCCGAGCGGCGACCTCGACTGCGTACCCCCCTTCATGGTCGGCTCGCCGCACCACCGAGACGAGGACGGGAACCTCACCGGACGCGAGGCCTGCTTCAAAATCGTCGGAACTTACCTCGGCGACACAGAGGCTGCCTCGGAGGCGATTGGCAAACGCCTCGCCAAAAACCTCCGTCCGCTCGACTTCATCGACACGCTCGAATGCACCGAGGGCATTCAGAACGTTGGACACCTCAAGTACAACCTCATCACCCGTCAGGCCTGCCCAAAGACGAAGTACATTTGCTCCGTCACGCCACCAGAGA